AACCGAAGAATCCATTTTCAATTGGAAAATAAAACTGGGAGAGTAAATATGAGAATGTCAATTGGCTCAGTTACATTGAACATAGGGCCAACACTCTTCAAGAAACATTCAGAACCTACATGTACGAACAGTCAAAGCCCAAATATACGTATTGTATTAATCACATCCCCAGTTACCGAAACAATGAACACGTTGGTTTCGTCATTTCACTTCTGATTGTTCACATGTTTTAATTTTTGAACGCCCCCCGCACTCGTGAGGAACATTTCCAATTCGCAAACTGCCCACGTACTCAACACCGCAAGCCGGTGAACAAGGGTGGATTAAAGGATTAAAGCGAAGCAAGCATATGCAGAGTCATCATTGAATAGAGGGGCACACAACATTGTTTTCAATAAAAATGAATATTTGATCATAATAAGCAAAAAAAAAAAAAAAGAATATATATTTTGTTCAGTTGCAATGGATTTAGTCTATTTTCGAAGTTATTTTAAGTCAACTGCTCAGTGTTTCGATATTATAACAGGACCATACAACAGACTCAGTGTCCCTTAACATATTAATCCGACCACAAGCGTGCACAGCATAAATGAAGGGGGGCAAATATATTTGTGCCCCCCCCCCTGTTCACAGAAATTTTAAAAATATTTATGACATTTTACAAATAAATTTAAAAAAACGAGAATTAAATTATAACTTTAATGATTCAAATGGTTTTCTGTTCATCTATTTACAAGGATGCCAGATCTGGAGAGCTTCCCCATATGGTATAACAAATGATTGAAACAAAAAGTCATTAATTATTCCTTTTTATTATAATTTTATAAAATATTGTTATTTATCTACAAAACAATAGTGTCAGTTATTGATTTCTATCATTTCTAAAGCGACCTAAATGAAATAAAACTTCTACAAAATCCCCAATCGTCAGTTTAAAGAAGCAGTGGCAAAAAGGGGTTGAAAATAATTAGGGATATAAAATGTTTTATCACGTTGGGCCATGTCCAGGGGCCCACGGCCGCCCGCTAATCCGACCCTGGCAGCGAACCCCAGTGTGGAGCTCTTTCGCGGAGCGTCCTTCGTTCACGGGGCGGGCGCGCGCGCGCGCGCCCCGCCCTCGTTCGTTCGCCCCTCCGCAACGCGATTCGCGCGGCGGACACGTGCGCGCGCGCGCACCCCACTCGCCCGCCCTGGGGGGAGAGCGAGAGCCCCGCGCGGAGGGGCCCGAGCGGTCACGAGAGGCGCCAGGATTTCCTGCACGGCGGCGGCTACGTCGCACTCGCACGCTCCTTCCCACCCCGTCGGCAAACGCGAGGAGGAACGGCGATGCTTTTACAAAGAACGAAATATTAAAAAGAAAGCAAGACAAACGTCAATGTTGGAAGCTTTACTGGTGAAAGTTTTGATGCCTTGACAGTTCAGAAGGGAGGGCAGGAGTGAAAACACGGGGATGGTCTAATAGTTGATAATTTCACTTTAAATACATGAAATCGATGTATTAAATTGTTCAAGCTTTTCTGAACTTTGTTACCGCCACTTTTTCAGCGATGGCGTTTTAAGGGAAGGGAGGCATTTTGATTTGCTGAATCGTAAGTTTTCTCTCAATCTCCGAGACGGGGAAAATACCCGATTGTGGATTTGACGTTGATGACAGTCACAGCATGATCACTTCCCACGCCGAACTCGTGGACGTATTAGCAAGCATTTGCATCGTATACGATATGAGGGGGGAATGACAATTATCATCGATTGGTGAAAATGACCGATGAACGATATGCAGATGGGGCAGCGAAAAGATTCATGCCAAATCAATCGACAGTACCTTTCCAAAATCCACACGCACCTTTTCCCTCTAGAAAAGCCCAATAGAGCGCGTCGGATCGGATCGGGGCAATGCAACCCGCTAAACATGGGCATACCAGCTAACGAGGTGTGCTGCATCCCTTTCGGGGCAACGCCAACGCTCGCCTCTCCGATCGTAGGCGAGATGCTCGTAGTTCTCTCGACACGTCATCCCGCTGGAGCTAAAGTAGGTAAATGAGAGAACGCGACAAGATCGGGGGCGTGATGGGCGATACGCACATGACTTCGCAATTAGGCTGCGAGGAGAAATCGGCCTCTCGTGCGAGGGGAGCAAAGGAAAGGATGTGTCGACGTCGCAAAAGAAAACAAAAAGCCAATGCGACGGCGAGTAGACAAAACGTCACTTGCGTCGTTTGCGAACAGCCGCCCGCGGGCAGGCGTTCAATTATCCTGCGGCTATAGAAAGCGTCGTTCCGCCCAGCCCCGTCCAAGCAACGTCGACTCACCTTCCACTTTCCCCATGGCGAGGATGGTGATGGTCTTGATGGCGGGCACGGCCCACGCCGCCAGATGAAAGTACTGCGAGTTGGCCTCGATGGCTTCGTGACCCCACTTGAGGCCCGCGGCCAGGAACCACGTGAGGGTGAGCACCACCCACCAGATGGACGACGCCATGCTGAAGAAGTAGAGCACCATGAAGAGGATGGTGCACCACTCGTCCTTGGTGCCCTGCCGGATGAGGGACACCATGGGGGGTTCGATGTGCTGGATGCCCGGCGGCGGCGCGAACGGCTCCCTACACGCGATGCTGTCCCGCGCGCCGAAGCCCACCACGTAGGCCAGCGCCACCATGAGGTAGCACACGGACAGGAAGATGATGGGGCGCTCGGGGTAGCGGAAGCGGTCCGTGTCGATGAGGAAGGTGAGCACGGTGAAGAGGCACGACGCGGCGCACAGCACCGACCACACGCCCACCCACACCCGCGCGAACTGGCGCTCGTCCTCCGAGAAGAACATGGAGTCGCAGGGCGCCCCGCAATCGCGCTCCACCCGCTCGCCCACCTTCAGAACGTACTCCAGGTCCTTGGGCACTTTGAACTGCACCGGGCACGAGAACTTGCCGCCCTTGCCGCCCTCGCCCGGCAGCTTGTGCAAGGTGCGCGGCGTCGTGGTGAGCGAGTGGCCCGGCTCCTTGGTCGTCTCCGTGTTGTTTTCGCCCACGCAGATCTCGTCTCCGCCCGCCTCGGGGAACTTCTCGCACTCGAGGAACTCCGGCCACTCGAAGCCGAACTTCATCATGAGCGTCTCGCATCCGTTGCGCGCGGACAGACACAGCGAGCGGCACGGCGGGATGGGCCGATCCAGGATGGTGCACACGGGCACGTACACCGAACACAGGAAAAACTGCAGGTCGGGGCTGCACTTCACTTTCACGAGCGGGAAGTACTGGTGCACTTCCAGCCCGGCGTCCTCCTGCTTGCCGTGGTTCAGCAGGTTGGGCATGATGGTTTGGTTGTACTGGATGTCGATGCAAAAGGCGACCGTGATGGGCTCGCAGCGGCCGTGGTGAGGCAGCTGGTCGCGGTCAGACACGCGGTCGACGGCGCGGCTGGAGCCGCCCCCGCCCTCGGCCAGGGCGGCCGCCGTCGTCCACCACCACAGCCACAGGGCGTAGCGCCCCCACAGGCGAGCCATGGCTCGAGCGCCTGCCTCGTCGGTCTCCGCGCGCGCGGCGCGGCGACGCGCCGCTTGCCGCTCACGAAAACACGTCGCCCGCCGCGCGGCGCATCGCTCCACACACCGCTCCGCGCCCACGCTCTTCGCCTTTCCTCGTTTTATTCCACGCGCAGATCGTCGGCCCTTCTCACATCGTGCTCGAAATCACAACACAATAACAACACGCACTCGCGGGAAAGAAAGATCGCGAAGCACTCTGCACACAACCTTCTCGCTCGAGGCACTAAACGACTTTGAGAGTCTGGTGTTATGGCCGCTTTGAAGGAATACGCTCTATTGAAGAGCGCATGCGCAGTGCGTTCCTGGGGTACTGCCAACTGCTGCGAGGTGAAAGCGGGATGCAAACGTAAACATTCCACAGCAAGAAACATATTGAGCTCAGAAAGCGACAAAAATACAAGTTACAAGGAAAGGAATTCATATTAGACCTCAAATGCGAGATATATAAGCTGCTAACGACCAAATTGAATATAAAATTACAGAGTAATAGCCAATCAGCGTTTTTCATTGGTCAGCCTGCAGAGACGAGGTGAAGGGCCTCATGTTGATTCACATGCCCTACTAGCGCAACCTACCAGATAACGTCTGAACTCTTGGTGTACCTACGTAAAGCTAAACTGAAATTGCACTGATAAAAAAAATGCTGTGTTGGTTTACACTGAGGCCACATCGAATCGCTTTTATTTTATGAAAGAAATACATTTTGGACATTTCATTTTTATTTAATTGAAACTTCTCTCACTTATTAGTTCTTTAGTGTCAAGTTTTTACATTTAAAAAAATCATTCAACCGTCATTACTAATTGTCATTAAAAAAAGTGATTTTACATATGGGAAAAAAAGAAAGTTAAATATTCGGGAACGAACATAAAATTAAAAAAAGTTATTAACAAATTATATTAACTCTTTTTATCCTCATAGTAATGTCACATGTTCAAACAATTGTTAAAAAACTAAAATGTTTGCAAGTTATTTTTAAAAAATGCAGGGCAGCAATACTAGAAATCAAAATTGGTCAAATATATTTCCTAATCTGAATTGAAATTTTTAACATACTGTAAGAAAAAATACATTACTTCTGGCAATTACTTAGACAATAGTTTAAAAGATATACATCCCAACACAAATGCCCATCTCTTGCTTCAAAGCAGTTATCTGGAGTTATTACTAAGGAAAAATTCTCAAGAACTATTTCAATGAAAGACATTTTCTCAAAAAAATATCAAGGTATTTGAGTGCCAAAACATTGTTCAAATTGTTTTGCAGATTCTAATATGATCTGAAAAGAATAGGACATAGGAATGTGTACTTGCAAGGAGGTAACAAGGATAGTAAGAACAAAAACATTGAAAATTACAACATGAGAACATAACAATTTGCAATATTGAACTTCTATTACCCTGGAGTGGACAGTTTCTTATAGTATAAAATTGCTCATGTTATTGTGTAACATATTGCTTTATGTTTCCATGGTATTGCTTCACAGATTACACATTTTATTATTATTATTATTTGCTCTCCTTAATTCTCACTTTAATTTTCCAGTGTCCAAAATTAATTCGACAGGAAACAATACTGTCCTACAGTGGTTCTCAATCTTGTTCATGATATGAATTTCTTAATTTATAAAACATTATTTTTGAACATACTAAGTATTATACAAAAAAATGTGACAATTATAAAGAAATACAATTAAAAGCTAATTGTGACAATGCACAATTGTCAATAGCTACTTTTTTGCACCCGTGATTCACAAAATAAAGAACAAATGAAATTAAAAACAACTTGACAAATTTATCACCGGAGAATACAAACATACTGTGAAGTACGTTTTTCTGATAATCTTCAAATTTGCAAGAGTAAACCATTTTCTCATACTAATTAACTTAATGACTGAATGCATACATTCACACTATTGTAGTTATCTAGGTTGTATTTGTTAGGAAAAAACAAAGGTTACTTATTTTACAAACACAGAAAGCATTCAAAATCTATAGTAAGGGTTCCATAACCATTGTGTTACACCTTACACTTTAACAAACTAAAATTTGTTATAATTTGGACGAAGCAGAAATAACACTAACATTTTATGGTATAATCAGCATTTATCAGTCAGCCTAAAATTTCACGATTTATTATACTACTGCGATAGTAAACAAGTGAATTCTGTTACTACAACTTCTGTTGTTTGCTACATATCTATTTAAATAATATTTGCACACTGTGATTCAAGAAAAGATGGTTGCAAATAATTCTCCTGAACCTAAAGATACCTCAAGAAATGATGTTCGGTGAGGAAGTTGGCATGTCTACTTTCAGTGGTGACACCTTCAGCTCTTCAGTAAATATAAATACCAGAGAAGAGGTTCTTTCAGTGCAATGCCAGGAAAATCAGATTAATTTACCTAATATAAATTTTTTTAAATTACCCTATTAATCCCAAAATTATTATCCCCAAAACTAATAAGTTACTTTTATTCCGAATTATTGGGATCTGACTTTTTTTGAAATCGCCATGCTTTGATGGTTGTTTATTTACTTTGCTAAGGATGTTAAATTTCTTAATATACAGGTAGATACCATTGTACTTAAAAAACCTTTAGGATTGCATGTTAAAGACACATTTGACTGAAAAATATTAATTTTGTTGACATGTCTCATAATTTGAGAGTTTTAGAGAAAAAATTATTAACAAAATATTCCTATACATTAAACAAGACAAGAATTAAACCAGATATATTTTGTTTCAAAGGAAATATATAAATACATAATGGTGCTTTAAACTTTACATTATACTAGGAAACTCATGAATCTTAGATTAAGAACCACAATAATGGGGAAAATTAAAATTAATTTGGAGAGACAAAGTGCAGAAAAAAGAATCATATTGTATTCACATACATTATTAATGATGGAGCGACCATTCTCATTGAGCTTCAAAACCAAAGAGAACTCTGAAATTAACATGATATCTTCAGTTTAAAATAATTTTTCAAATGTAATCTGAAAAATGCAATGAACAAAAGTAACATTATTACTATTTTCAATTAGAAAGAAAAACAAAAAAAAAACATAAAACATTTTGTTTGGAAAAGTAATTTATTATGAATAAGGTTGTATAAAACTTACAAAAAATCATAACTGGTGCATCTGTTCTATACAGTAACAAAAGAGAAAGGCCAATTTGCCCCTAAAAAATCATATATACAAAGTAGAATAATACTGGAGAAGATTTTACATCTGCTGGAAATACGAGCAAATCAGTATAGTTCACATGAGATTGGTCCTCAAAGATCAAATTAATTTTTTTAAATTCACACAACCTGGTTCAACTGTTATCAGCCCAACAGAAAACAGAGCCTGCCACTTTGAGAAGCAATGTACCAATAAATATATTATAAATTAAAACACAAACCTAAGCACATGTTCCTAACAGGCACACACAAATAGCATGCAACAATAGTCTCTCTGCATAAACCTTTAAAAATACCAAAAAGAATTACTTTTCTAATTGTTATGTCAAAGATCAAAAATTCACACTGCTTGTACTTCTTAGAGAAACGAATATTGAGAGTCTCACACTTGACCTCCAGTCACTGTACACTTCTTCTCTAGATTCTCTGGAGCAGGAAAAAGATTGTCTCCCTGATTAACTTTCACAGGCTGCACTGTAATGTCAGATCCCAAACTTGGTGAGGACTTGGATGTACTAGGCAATGGAGCAGCATTGACAGTACTAATAGGTTTCAGAATGCTCACACTGTCCATTTTAAATCCCATGGGAGACATAAACATATTAGAGAGATTACTTGCTCCAAGAATAGATCGACTTGCCTCTGAAGTAAGCCCCATCAATGAAGTAGGAGATGGAAACTTGCCTGTAGCGAATAAGGCATTAGCAATATCTGATCCCATCAACAAATTGCTACTTAAAGTGGCACTTATGCTGCCAGCAATACTATTGCTATTAGATGTCTTCATGTTGGAAGGCAATGGGATGGTGGGTACTAATAAATTCACTCTGTCCAAAGTACTAGGGCTACTGCTCACAGCTGGTGCTGGCGTGTCAATTGTAAAAGCCTTAGCAAGAAGAGAAGCATGGTCATCTGAACCTCCTGCTTCAGGGCAAACAAGATCTCGAATAAATCCCCATAAAATTCCATCACTTTGATCACGAGGAAATTTAGAAGTCAAAGTAGTCTGCAAAAAATAAAATAAATCAAGAAATATAAGGTCATTAAACAAAAGTTGTACAGCAAATCGTAAATAATGAATTTTCATAATTGTGGACTTAAATAGTAATGGTCCTTCACCTTCAGTTTTTCCAAGTAAGTAATATTTCCTTTGTATTTGTCACTAAATTTCACATATTCAGGTTCATTTTTATAAAATTCAACACATTTTTTCTGAAAGAAATAAAGTAAAATAATAAGACAATTTTTAAGTTTAAGAAGCAATATCACTTTTTTACTATACAATTCAATGAAACATAATTTTTGTACCATTTCGTTAAGAGCATCCTGTGAAAGAAATTGATCCTGCACTACACTGTAGCTCATTAACATGGGTTTGCCATACTCTAAAGGCTTGCTCTCAGGAGGTGGCATTACCCAGTAACTCACAACTGAAGATTCTAAAGTTGGGCACTCTGGATTGTAAGGTGCTGCACAAATGAACCCAATTATTAATTTAAATCAGCAAAAACGGAGCAAAATAATCAGTAACAGTGGCGGATCCAGAGGGGGGGGGGGCATGTCCCCCCAAAATGCCTCGAGGTTTCATTTGTTACCTTCCTTTATTTGGCAAAATTGATTTAAATATTTATGTTAGATTTATGTAATTATTTAAAAATAATATTGAATAGTATCTTACATTAACTACAAAAATAATATTCAATATACCAAAAAAGGTTTATTATTTAACAAAAATCTATGATGGTCTCCTTCAAAATGATCATTTGGATCCACCACTGATCAGTAACATTCACATCAATGAACCAACAGCACTAATGTTGCAGCGTTTTAATCTGAACTATTGGTTAATTGATGTATCATATCATAAAATGCAACATTTAATATTTTGCTAAAAATCTCAAATTATTAAATTACAGTAAGGCATCAATAACACAAATACCAAGAATCTACATAATTGATTATCAGGATTCATTCCTGATGGTGAAAAAATCACATTAAGTGAATACTGTATATTCACTTTTGTTTAAAAGTGTCGACACAACTTAATACTTTTATTAAAACCATTGATTGCCGGAAATGACAATACATAGATACAAAATAAGCTGAAAATAAGATAATTTAAATTTCATAATACTTTTAGAATCAAATAAAAATTATTACTCTCAACAATATACATTAAACGCTTGTTAGCACTAACAAGCTAAAATGACATTTGCTATAAAGCGAAGAAAATTTGGGTCCTGCCAAAGAAAAGTAGAAATGAGGATACATATAAAATTCAGTTAACATGAATTTTTATAACAAGAACACCAATTATATCAGTCCCTTGGAATTCATGTTAAAGAGGCTTTGTTGTAATCATATATGAAAAATGAATCAAGGAAGAATTTCCCAGAAACTGCAGATTGGAAAACTTTTTCTTCAAATAAAGACTTTTCACATGTTGAATTGATTGATCACATTTGCACACATTTGATGATCATTGGTTTCAATGGGTGCATTTAAACACTACTTCTTCATTATAATTGTTACTATCATATCTGCACAGACACTAGATTGTTGGGCATGTCGCCTGTTCTTGTTTCCCAATACACCATTTAGTCCTCTTAAGTGTTCCTGATCTAATCATTTTTATGTAGTCTCCCCATGACTCTTCATTCTTTTGGCTTATAACAATGCTGTCCTAGGGTATCTTCTTGCTTCATTCTGTTAATTCCTTACTTCATTAATAGTTTTAATCATCTGCTCCACTTCGTAACCATTGTAAAAAGACGGGTGTGGGGTAACTTAATATTATGCTAGATTAATGTAAAGAAGAAAAAACACAAATAATTTGTTTCAGGGAAAATAACATCAATGCCTGTGTGTGAGCCACCATCAAAACATCAACATGTCTAGCATTAATTACAAAGAGTTGAAACATACATATTTGAACCAACAGTAGAAATTAGAACATGAAAACTCTACACACACAACATGAAAATATTTAGTTATTAAAGGCTCTATGAATTTGATAACTGAAGTTTACTTCTATTTCTTTAAAATCTAAAGATCATAATATCGCACCATTTACAGAAAATACATCACTGCAGACTCACATCAAGTTCTCTCTCTGCCAAATAACATGGAATGTCTCAAAATTGAGGATCTTCAAAATATTTAGTCATCAGCCTACATTTGAATAAGGAACACGCCTTAAAATGACAATATGTCATCGAAATTATATTCTAAAGCCTTCAAATTTTTGTAATGTTCCAAATGAATTTTTCATACTCCTGTTAATTTTCAAACAGTGATTATGTAAAATGTATTTAAATGATAAATTGGCAAATATATTATCTTCAAGCATAATCCCCATGAGCTGAGCACACACATTAAATTTTCCTCTCAACAATGGAATACACTAAATGGATCCCTTGAGAATTTCCCTGAACTGTTGCAGATGTGGAGATCTGGTTTTCATAAAACAAATGTATGTGTGGGGCACATAACATGATGTACAACATGAAACTATATCTTTTTAAACAACAGTATGATTGCCTCTAATAATATTAATAATTCATAAAGAAGGGGCAAGAATTTCCTTGAAGTGAGGATGTAAATATTTACAAAAGGAAGTTTTCTCCTCCTTTATGTTTATTTTGAATTTATCTTTTTTAGTATTTTAAAAGCTGAGAGATCTTCTACAAAAGGCTAGAGCATGATATGGCGCTCAAAGAATTGGTTTTAAATTTTTTTTAAATACGTCTAAGAATGAACAAGATAATGCACGTGTATTTTTATCGCAGAACAAAAATGTTTTGAACGTTAAAGGAAACTTTTAATCTCAGACAATGTTCGGGAAGTGGAGACAGAGAAAATGACAAATAATGAAGAGATAACAATGGATGAGTTAGAATTAGCACTGCAGAAAAACAAAAATTGGAAATCTGTGGAACTCGATGATGTGCTAATGGAATTATGGAAATAAGCAGATCAGATAAAAAGATTCTTATTAAAATTCTTTAACTATCTGTTGACTGAAAGCAAACCACCTGCAAATTCGAACAAAGCCTTAATAATCTATATACATAAAATGGTTCCAACATGTAAACAGAATAGAACCAAATAGAATACCATTTCTTACATAAACCTAGAGACTACAGATATGTTGGTAAACTTAAAATGAGGTGGTCAGAAAATTTCTGAGTCTCGGAAAGGGCCATTAAAATTTTTTTGATTAATATTTAACATGTTTTGACAAAATTATAATAAATTTTGTTCACATTTAATGAAACATATAAATATATGAATATGAAACATGTATTCTAATCTCTCTCTATATAAAAATGTTTGTTGGTGTGTTTGAGATTGCTGAACTCTGACACTGTTTGATCGATCTCCATGAGAGTTGGCACATCTACATGTTTTTTCATGAAGAAGGTTTTTATGTTGTTCATTTTGTTGTAACTCCACTAAATGGCACTACACAACTAGATGCTGCTTCAGTTAAATGCAATTCCCAATTCACCTGAGCTTCATTGTTGGTGAGTGTCGCCATTTGACACAGGGCAAGGCTGGAAAGGGGAGGAGTGGGGGGCATGGGATGGAAAGCCGAGAGAGAGAGAGAGGGGGGGGGAGGACAGAGAGAGAGAGGGGGACCAAGAGAAAGAGAGAGAAAGGGAACTAGAGAGAGGGGGCACAAGAGAAAGGGGATCAAGAGAGGGAACGAGGGAAAGAGAGAGAGAGAGAGAACAAGAGAGAGAGGGGGGAATGAGAGAGAGGGAACACGAGAGAACAAGAGGAGAGGAAGAGAGAGAGGGCAGGAAGGCCGGAGGAGGGAGAGAAAGCAAGATGTCTGCTGTTACTTTTATATGAAAACTAAAACAGTTTCTGGAAAACTTGTACAGTGATTGTCTAAAACGAAAAAAAGGGCACTTGAGTAATAAGTTATTAATATAACGTTTTATTGTAATGTCAGCCGCTGTGAGTACTATGTGATTTAAGGTTCCTGTGACACTTATCGGCGCCATTATCAGTTCTGCTGATTTCACAATAAATAAAAGAGATTTTCTTTTACAGAACAGGTCAAACCCAAAGTTTGCAAACTGAGTTTATTTAAACAAAAGGAAGATGCTTTGATTACATCAGTAATACATCTAACAGCTTGAGTTGTTCATCTGAAGTGGTTTTGATCCACTTTTTTTCGTTATTTTTCTTTGTTTTCAGGGCATTTTATTGATCGTTTTTGGCAATGTTTTAGGTCATCCAAATCCGCCCCTAAGTGATAACTAATGTAAGTTACTTATTTATAAATGCTTTTTGCCCAACTCAAGCAGAGATCATGGCTAAGGGTTAATAGTTAATACACTGACTGCAAGTGGCAAAGGAATAGTTTTGGAGCACTTGTAGCACGTTTCCATGGCCTCCCCTCACCTCATTAAGTATTACAATTATTTTTCATACTAAAGAGCCCACATAACCAAGCAGAATGGTCTTGAAGCACATTTCCTCACAGTCATGGTAAAATATTAACGATCGGCATGGTTAAAAAAAAAAAAAAATTCTCAAAAATATTGTTATGTAAACTTGGGTAATATGCATACCTATAACCAACTCTTCACGCTCTATATCATGACCTAAACAAATCCATAGTGTTCCATTAAAAAATGAAAGTTGTGTCTACAACTCTTAAATTATAAAAGCTGGAGCACATTGAAATCTTATGTGCCCCTTGCATCTATTTGTTATTGTGGACACTGAAGGGTACATCTTAACTGAGTCATCGTGTATGCAAAGTACTACTGATTGGTGGGTTTGAATACCTTCCGTATCATCTTTGGTGTTTCCAATAACGACAATTATTAGTCAGTCATCAGAACTCAGTTCTAAAGAGTGGATTGTCCCTTTATGTGCATATACAGCTGTTCCTTATCACACCTAGCTGTTGAATGAAAAGATTTTAAAACAAATTGAACCCATTTTCTCTTTATTATATTTCGGAATAACTATTTATACCTCTAATATTCAGCACTGAATAAAACAAGCAAATACTCGATCTGCTATTACTGAAAATAAATATGATGTTCTTCACATTATCCATCACATTCTCTCCCTCTTTTGTTATTTTAAAGTCAAAATCATGGCCTTTTTTCCAAACTCGGGAAGAGGTAAAATTGTTGTCCCACTAGTAAACAGTAGAATAGTACATTGAGAACTTTGTTTCTTGGATATCAATATTGTGTTGCCCTCAAATTCAAACATATTAAATTGTAGATGGGGAAATGAACTCTTTACACAATTCTAGCAAAATGTGGTGCACTGATGCTGTGAACCGTTTTAAAAATAGTTTCATAGCGTTCCATGTGTTGAAAATTCCTTTCAAGCCCAGCTTTGTTTAAATATGTTCTTTCAGTACCTGGCATTGGACTTACCAATGAATCATACAAGCTGATAACATTATACTCCCGTTCAAAAGTTCCCATCACCCTATGGACTTGTGTATTGCCTCCATACGAGATATGAACTGGTGTTATTGCCATTTCAAAATAATTACTGTAACAAATACTTACAGGTTTTGATGCAAATAGTACAGCTATATTTACAGCTCTTTTATGCATTTTTGGTAATATGAACAAAAATGCATATAGCATATTTGCATTAGCACAATTGCTAAATGTAATAATGCAGATCATTCCCAATTAAATCTGAAAATTCTGTTGCAAATATATTTTACAACTAGAGTTGATTCTTCTCCAGATTTTCTTAAAAATTCCATATTTTTCTCCTTTAATTTTTGAAGAAATTAAAACTTCACAAACTCTGCCTAATTTGTGTTAACTCCTACTTTTTCAATTGCTCTATTAATCCTTATGTATGAAAATCTAGCGCTGCATGTGAATCTAACATTAAAACATGACTGTTTTATATGTTTATGTAAATAAGATGTTAGTTAATTTGAATTAGAATAAGTTGTGAGTCACGTTCCTTTGAAAATCTGTATTTGCACACTTACTTAAAAATGTAAAAGTGCGAAGTCAAACATAATGTTCATTCATTGTCTAGCATTACTCACAGTTTTGAATTCTCCATATTAACTTCAAATTAAAGTTCAGTAAGTTCAGAGGTAATACTGTTCATAGGTGTTCACAAATTTATTTTTTAGATACGATAACATTTCAACTCTAAATTGAAATCAAACTGCAGCGCAATTTACTTGGTAATTAAAATGTTCACTTAAAGATGTCAATATCAGTGTTGAAAATATCTTGAATGAAAATGATGGAGTATTAAGCAAAAAATGCCTTTTGGTTCTGGTATTTAATCAACGCCACACAAATACATCGATTTAGGAGGTGTTGGTTTAATTCCTGGCATTATCACTAAGATCGCAACACCAAAAAAACCGAAAACACGTTTTTGGAAATTTCTTTAAATCTTGAAGCTGGATGCAGAAACAAATTATCAGTTCCCCATCAAGAGACTGAGACATGTCGAATGACACCTTATACGTCTTGATTGGTGTATGGGAAGTGGTCCAGGCACCAATGACGGAATGGCAAAAACAAACATCTGCACAGTTATACGTCTGCACACTCAAGAGTTTTACTGAAACACTGTATAGTGATGCACTATATTAGGATTCAATACTAAATTTTAATCAAAGTCACATAGGACTATAGTACTGTGTTCACCTTCAGAATGAAGAAAAGATAGGACACACACACAGCATGTTCAAGAAAGTTCACCAACAGCAATTCTCTCAACCATTTGGTGGCCAATAACAAATATTGATCATCACCTATTTCTCAACACCCTCGCTGTTAAAAGGTACACTGACATTGAATTTTCGGCAATCCGGGAGATGCTGCGTCGTTGGCTGGGGTGCCGACGTTTCGCCTGATATGTTGCAGGCTTCCTCAAGGCAGTGAGTCGTCACATGTCAGGCGAAACGTCGGCACCCCAGCCAACGACGCGGCATCTCCCGGATAGCCGAGAATTCATGGATTCGAGCCGCGGAAGCTTACGTGTACACTGACATTGCCCATTTAAGATAGAATTGCTACACAAATAAAGAAAACCTATGTGATTTCCTGGTTCCTGCCTTTTAGGATAAACAGATGTGGACTGCATGCAAGTAATTGTGAAACACCCTAGTGCACTTGTGGTAGAGAAGAGTTAAAGGAAACAAAATTAATTGAACATATTTTCAATTTTTTCTAAAAGAAAGCTGCACCAAGCTTCTATAGTTTCAATCCCAAGCCTCCAATTTAAATATTACACAATTCATTCAATCCTTACAGCAAATAACGCCAACACAGGGTATGTAACTCGCATCACTGTTGCCCTTCATACGGATTTCATACTCCAGCTGGGCATCTATATCTCTGAGAGATGGAGTGGCTGCACTATGAGGGTGGGAGTGATACCAGCCAACCAAGATCAAATGTCGTTGTTCAATGGCTCGAAAAATTTCTGCTTCCACAACTGGAGCCATCTCTCTATCTCCAAGCCGTGCCCGACATGGAAATGCATGTGTAATTGCTAAATCTGAAATAGAATAATTGTCAAATTAAGAATGAACATCAATAAATACTTAAATTTGTAATACATACATTGTCCAAACAATACTTCTGAAAAGCAAAAGTTTGAAGCTAAAATGCAATAAATTTAACTAAAATAAGTTATCTCTAACTTTATATTTTAAAATCATTTTTGATGAAGAAAGAAGAGTCCAGTTCAAATTAAGGAAGTTGTTTAAAACCAGATGTTCATTCCACTCAGGGAAGGGAAACACTCATAGTGGAGGGGCAAGGGAAAATTAGGGGATTTCAAGGGAAATCTGTCGATGACTAGAGAAAGTGATTTATCAGGATTGGGCCTTTCTAAAAAAGATAACTCAGAACAGTTGCGTTGTTTCATAAAACATATTGATTTGACCAAAACCACTATTAGATTTGTAAAAATTTAATAATAATAACAACATCCTTGCTTGAGATTTGCCTAATTACATGAATACCATCTCCATAATGACATTAATAAAGGAAAAAGAAACCATGACAACAATTTTAACTTACTGTGAGCATTCACATCCCAATGACCAGCAAGATACCCAACAACTTCAGATGTTGTGAGGTGGCAGTGAAAGTCCATGACAAGCACAGCATTGGTTGCCATGGAAATAAGAAATGGCTGAATCTTCCCCAGCGAAGAAAATGGAGTACTCTCCACCAGAGTATTTTGATCACTGAAATATAAAAGAAAAGAAAATTGGCAAACCTCTTTTATTAATTTACTTATGCTTTGAAGGGAATCAGAAACGTCATACTCACTGACTGATGCTACGGCAGCCAAGAACACTATGTTTAACCATGAGACGTGGAATCGGTGCCGGAGTCATGGTTTTGCTCTCCTTGTCCATATCTTCATCTGCAAAGGACATTCTCTTGAATTTACTCACAACACATCAGTCAGACAAAATCCCGTAATGTACTTGCCATCAGTTCCTTCGTTCTCCTTATTCTGGCTTCGCTTTCTTTTCCTTAACCATGTAGTTTTATATACATCCAACTTTCTACCTTTATATTTCACCTAAAACAGTGTATCGCTAAAGCAAATGCACAAGCAAGTTACACGACAAGTCAATTTCATTGCTTATCCTACCGATGCCCAACCACAGCCTGATTTCTTCTCAGGGTTAATGATTCTCTTGCAGTGGATGGCCCATGCACTTGGTGATGCAAATACAAGATCAGTTTCCTGAGACTTAATTTTGCCATCAGGTAACAAATCACCTACAAATCTCTGACCCTGGAACAAAACAGACATGTTGCAACTTCAGCTGTTTTATGTTGGTTTAGAGCAGTATACACTTGTTTTAGATTTCTTCTGACTCTGGAATGAACAAACAGGAACACAAACATTTTTAACAATTGAAGAACACACAATAAAATTTGAAGTGGAAAGTAGTAGTACATAATGTCCCAATGATTAAGAGTTTTCTAAAGATATACACTCAATTAAGAAGATACAACTCATTTTTGTTGATAAAATAAGTAATAAAATTCCCAGAGGGGGATCACTGATTGAATATAATTTTATCATGCAGTACAAAAGAATGTTATTTGATCATGCCTGAAGCAAAGAACTCGCCTAACAAATCAGAGAATCGATGAACAAGAATACTCTGCTGTTTATTTTAAGAAAAATATTAATATAATAATTAACAAATTATTGTGGTAAAAAGTGTAAGTTCAGTGCATTGCATGTATGAGAAATCAGTGAGGATGTTGTGGCACCCCTAATTACTTTACTACTCACTACAATTTCTCAGAGAGACATTACACTGTGCAACAAAAGGGTGAGTAAGTCAAAAAACAGAGGATTATCGACAAACACAAGGAGAAGGCCACAGTGTCCCAGGGTGAGGGAAGGGACAACAGCAGGCTCACCAGGTACTCGATGGCCATAGTACCTTCCCCAGACTGTAGAATACCAGCAGCGAGCAGCATCTGGAGTGTGAGAGAGCGGCCAGTGGAGCCCGAACCTCCACGGCTCTTGCGCTCACCCCCTTCCTCATAGTCCTAAGGAAGCACAGGTGTGTGTTAGGCAACCTAAGTACCCATAAGAGGCCTCAAAGTTCAACATCACCAAGTGCCAACATCACCCTGTTTTCAGATGTAGCAGTTGTGTTTTGTGTAAAGCCACAGCACTCGCACCAGAAACATTGTTTATGAAGTATTCTGTGCTAGACATGTTAGACTGTCTACATTTAAGCAAATGAAGTGCTCACACCCATGCACTGAATCAATATTTGGTTGTAAAAGAATGATGTTGTTGTCCAATATGATAACGAACATGAACATGAACATGAACATAAACATAAAACATGGTTATGCAACTACCTAAAAGAAAAGAGGTGGGAATGAAAAAAATAGTGTAACACGTGTACCGTGCAATATTAACATAAAATAAGCAATGACAGTGGGTGAGTGGTATTATTATAAAGAGATGATTGAGATGAAGCACAAAACCTGTAAAAACAATATTTGGAAAGAAGAAATAACAAATAGATATATTTTCAGAAGATCATACTTTCTATTGTTGAAAACTTGTATATCAACAAGATGAATCTATACTTTTTTTCAAATACAGTGTTTGGTAATTAAAAAAGATGTAAATTAATTAGAAGTATATAATTAATACAAATGAAAACATATAAATTTTTTGTCACAAGCAGTACATGCACAACACTTGGTGTAGAAAACAAATGAAAAAAACACCCCTGCATGAGAATTTACAGAAGCCATGCAACACACTGCTAAGGAATGTGCACCTCCTCATTAAACTCGTAATCCACTTCTTCATCAATTTCATCCTTTTCGTCCTGTTCATCCAACTGTTGCATTCTTGATCCCTTTTCATGAAGAAAATACAGTACAGGGACTATTATATTCAATGACAGAAAAGGGTCAGTAGAGTTTTCATTACAAGTAGAAAGAATTTTTCCAGATGACAAACATTGAGGAATAGCAATTAATGTACAAATAATATGCCTTAAGTAGGACAATTCTGCTGAGGAACAACTCTGTATTTCAGTTTTTATAATGTCATACTCCCCAAAACAAAGATGCATTGCAGCAGCACAAATCAAAGAAACAAACAAAACGATTTGAGTATTGACATTCTACAAAAATGTATTTTAAAAGTACCTCATAAAATTAACCTCAATCTTACTTAACACATGGTTTGATTAAGAATTCAAATTGCATTATTTCTATGTAAATAAGAGAAGTTTGGGACTCAGATGTAATGACTTTTGAAATTGATTTTGTGATAAATCAATGATACCCTTTGGAATGTGACAAAGAACAGTGTATTCAATTAATAAACTATTAATGATCTGTATTAATATTACATTCAAATGTGGTTCGTCGCTTTGTCACACTGCAAAGCTCATCAAACTTTCCATGAAATGTACACAGAAAACAAGAGCTTTTGTAGTAGTGTTAGAACACAAAACGAGACATATCTTGGTCACTTTCTTTGATAGATAAATGAAATATAGACTGAAACGGTCACATAATACATTAAAGGTGTTACAGAAGTTTTAAACATCACTTACACTGTCTCAACATAGCATTATGGGATGTACATCAACTGTCAACAACAAAAACTATACATTAATGAACAACGATAAACAGAAAAAAACGTCATTACTTGAATGTTGGCAACCCTGTCGTTCAATACAATTTTGCACAATTTAACTCTTCACACAACACTTAACTATGAAACCGATAACTTAATTGATGAGAAGAAATACAACAACCTTAAATTCACATCCATACTTACTTCTCATAAAAAATATTGATCTCACAAATCAATGTTGCCAACTTTCTTACCTTTGCTATAAATATGATCCATAATTTTTATAAAGTCACTTGAAGTGGGCAATTTGTTTTCTCCCCGACTGAACCATTGCAGCACTCAAGAACAGCATGTGATGAGTAAACTTGTTTATAGGAAATTCGGTTACATATACACAACTCAAAATTTAGAGCATCTGATGCTTTGTTCGCTCTCCTCAGACATTGCCTCTTTGATGCCAAAGCCGATCTATAGCCCTACTCTCCGCAGCCAACTATAGCCTTGCGGTGTTTCCTCGTGTGCCCGTTCTGGTTACCTCATAGTAAAATGTGGCGAATGAAGTGATGTAAACTTGGCAGTTGTGTTTAGCACCTTCCATAGCATACATAATAAACTCTAAAATGGTGACTGATTCAGAGAGTATTAGAAAACTTGCTGAGGACCTCGAGAAGCAGGAGCTGGATGTGAGCATTCTAGTGTTTTGTTATTGTTGACATAACCACAATCTTTATTCAATAACGATGATTATTTTGTAGGCACCTGGTGGCATTCCTCCTTCACAAGTATACGCCCAGCTTCTTGCTATTTATTTGTACCAAAACGATCTGTAAGTTTATTGAAAGCATGAATGTAACAATAAATATTGTAAAATTTGAAATAACTCAGTCTTCTGTTTCCAGATGCAATGCCAAATATTTGTGGAAAAGAATTCCTCAGAATGTTAAGAGTTCACATTCTGAATTAAATTCTATTTGGAAAGTTGGTCAGAAAATGTGGTTGAGAGATTTCCCTGGAGTATATGCTGCACTAAATACTGAATGGTCGGAAAATGTATCACAAATTATGCAGGCTTTGCAAGGTTTGTTTGAGTATTAATTATTTTTAATATATCTTAAGTATGTGGTATTGTTAAATGTAATTTAAAGTTTTTGTGAGATTTCTTAAATAAAGATTCATTTCCACAATACTTAGACATTTGTTTATTAAAAAACTGAAATGGCAAAGATAATGGAAAAAAAAATTTTTGGTATTATTATTTTAGGTTGTTTCATTCTAATAGTCATGAGTAGTAGTCGTTTGCTTTTTGGTGCTAGTGTTGGGCAAAATACTTTAAATTTAGTATTTAAATACTTTGCCAAAATACTTTATAAATAAGTATTTAAATCATAGAGGAGAGATATAATTAGGGTGCGCGTGAACCTACTGTGCAGGTTTCAACATGCAGTAGCCACAAGTCACATGATTTTGGGACACCGGTAGCTTGTTTTGCGTTGTATTGTGTGTACCTTTACATGCTGTTTGTTATTTCTGGTGCTGCAGCGTAATTAGTTGGGGGCCTACTAGTTTAGCCAGGACCATCTGGAAATGTTTTTCAGCTGCATAAGGAGCAAAGACAGATTCAACAATAATTCTACTGCTAAGCAATTTGCTGGGGTTTACAAGCGATTACTGGTGCATCACTAGATTTCTTCTTCTGCCTTTGCAAATTGTGTTCCACAGGATGAAACAACTATATTAAATGTTAGTTCATGCCAGTATGCAAGTGTGTCACAAGTGAAAGATTCTGAACTGTGCATTGAGGTGCCAATTGACCATATGTACTTGCCATCAGTAGACAATCTTGAAACTAGATAATCTTCCTATGTTGTGGACATTGTAATGTATATTGGAGGATTTGTAGTAAAAAAATTGGAAATGGGAAATGTCACTTGGTTGTGTTGATTGTAAGATAGTTTTTTGCCGGACAGATAGTGATGAAGGATCGTATTCCTTCATTCAGAGGAAGGGTGATCATGGGCTAAAATACCATTCTGCAGATGTTGTGAAAATCTGCAAAAGAGCAGAAGTAGAAGTAAGAATACTTCAAGGGAGAGGTGACATTTTTAAAAGGGTACAATTGTTCATAGATGTTTGAGAAAATTTGTAAATAATTCGTTGTTTTTTTTTAAATTTAACTTATCATATTATTGGTCAAGAGGCCATGCTGAATCATAGGGTGTATTAGATTAAGGCAATATTGTTTAAATATATTGAAATTAGGTTAAAACATATAGGAAGAGAAAAGACTGAAGTTTACCAGAAAAACAGAATTAGATCAGTTAATAATAAAATTATTTTATTTAGAGGGCTGCAATGGGTGTATTTATTGGTGATAATATTATATGGTGTTAGTAGTATATATTATGTATTTACTGGTTTAAGTTATGTTTGTAGTGTTAGTAGTATATTAGTGTTCATAGTTTGTATGATTGTAAGTATTTGATTTTTATTAGTAAATTCTTCGAAAATTATGTACTTCAGCTTCCGGGTCAAAGACCCCCATTTCGATTAGGTTTTTGTCCAATTTCCCTGATCCATTGAGCAAATGCTGAGATGGCCCCTTGTTTTGCCTCTGGATGTAAATGTAGCTTCACTATGTGCATGTTTTGTTGAGCACTCCTTTTGCTTGTAATTGGCAGGAGTAAAGCCTATGTTATGTTACTGTTTTGTCAGTAATACAAAAAAAAAAAAAAATTGCGGTTTGTTTATCGATGCAAATAAGGTTTGTATAACTTGGGAGGGAAAATGTCTAATGTCTATAGTTGAAATGTTGGGAAGAGATTTTTGAGCTCAAGAAAATGTGTGCAGATGATACTTCTCCTCCGTATGTCACATACAGTATTTACTGTTTTTGACTAAATAAATCAAAATATATATCAAAATAAAAGTTTGTTTTCCCCCTCTACAAATCCTTGAAATATTTTGATAACTTGCTGTTACATGTCTGATGTGGATTGTCAATAGCAGAATGTCTAGCATTGAGTAGTAACAGAAACTTGGATTAAGCCTCCCATGGAGTTAATTTATTTACAAATATTTTTTTTTATTTATTGTCCTATGTAATAGTACTTGTAAAACAGGTGTAGTGGGGTTCGCGGTTAAGAGTGACAAGTAAGACAAAAATCGGATTTTCATGCACTTAATTAAATAGAGCAGAATAACTTAAAGTAACTTTTCTGCTATAAGCAACATTATTAGACCTGTGTAATAAATGAGAAAATAATGTTAGAGGGAAGCATGTTAGACTCTTATTAAATGAAATCATTTATTACGAGACGGGTGTGAAGCAGATGTCTGCTAGCTGTCCTAAAGTCACGTGACGCGGGCGCGAGAGATGTTGATACCCGGCTGGGCCTTCTGCGCACCCTGGTGCACACTCTAGTATATCTCTACTCTATGATTTAAATACACAAAATACATTAGGACTTGATGTGCTAAATATATACATATTTAAAATATTCAAAATACTGGAAATATATAATAATTTTGTATTTTATGTTTTTATTGCAACAATATATTGTAATTGTCAATAAAAGTAAATTAGTTATTGACAGTCATATAAATGTCTGAACAATAATTATTGTAATGTATTGTAATAATATACATAAACATTTTCAAATATAAAATATCAAAAATATGTCTCTCACCATGAAATGGAATTTCCTTTCAAAAGAACTAATTTTTCAAACAAATCATCAGACAATAAACCCTAAGTTGGCGAATGTTTAAAAACTGTAAAGGAAAACTCAACTGTAAAGGTCATTCAACGGCATAAATTAACATAAACTAGTGTTAAAATGAATAAACGTTTGTTTTTTTTCTTATTGCTAGATAATTGTCAAGCATTTTCAATGATTCAGAGTTATCATTTATAAATGAAGAGATATCCCAATTCAACAGGTGAAAGGAGCTTTTATTTTTGTTTCAATTCAATTGTAGAATCCAACAAAAAGAAACTATTTCCATTCTAAACTATCTTCTTTGTCTATATTTACAGTATTTTAAGTATTACTTTTTTTAATTACACCTGCTTTATGTATTTAAATACATCTCTAAAATTCATGCCAAAAAATCTCAAATGTACGGTTTTTCAAATACAAAATGTATTTTAAATACAAGTATTTAAATACTGCCCAACGTTGGTTGGAATGCATAGGCCTACTGCCCATAATTATTTTGATAGATGAATACAATGGAGGGCATCGTATTTCGTAACCAGAACCAGGTAAAAAATGTTTCATTATTAAAATTTTTAGAATACGTCCTTTGATTTTCCGATGTAATCAACTCTCTCCCAATTTTGAATGGTTGATCGAAGGAGTGAAATCACAATTAGGCAATAGGGATGTGACATAATGCTGATGTTTCTATAAATAATACCAACACTTTAAACTGAATTTTTTTTAACATCGATGAATTGTGCTTAATATTGTTATGTTTTAAATGTTTTGTTCTTAGATGAAAAATTCCCATAATGTCAATTTTTGAAAGTGTAAATATTAAATAATAACCAATGGTACCAATGTCGTTTTATGTGGTTGAACCAAATGAACATGGTTTGTACTTCATCGAGCAGACTATCCTTCAATTGAGATGATACTGATGCTCTGGTCTGCTGCTTTTCTTGGTCTTTTCTTGTGTTTTGCACATGGAGAGGCATTTTTTTTTACCTTGTTTGAAGTTAAATTTTCATTATAAATGAATATACATGGCCAGTGTCCAATTAAATTTTGTTGTGCAAGAATATAAAGGCAAGACTACTACTAGTAGTACATGAATGTACGAAACCAGCTATCAAACATCAATGGTTTTTGGTCAAAGTATTATTAATATAAATGCTTTAATTTTGAACATCAATTGTTGGCCACATCAATGTTTTTTGTCGATGTGACATAACTAGTTAGTAAATTCAGTTGTTACCTATTAGCAGCTAATACTCGTTTATTGCATTTTCATTCTTGGATGATAAAAAATAAGAGAAGACCATTTTTATTAAATGTTAGTTAAATTAGGTCTACTTAGTCAACCCTTCACTTGAAGTTATCAGTTAATTAAGACTAAATGAAAGCTTGAGCGGGGGGGGCAGTCAGTAGAATTTCATAGAGGAGACAGCACTTAAAAATTAGCAACTGATTGCAACAAAAAATTAGATACTTTATTTAAATGCAAAGTGAGAATCGAAGACTTTCGAAAGCACATTCGACATTCCAGTCACTTAGATGACAAATGAATGTTGGTGCTGTTGCAAATTGTATATGCGGAATAAGCCAGCTAAATATAACAAAAATATTCTGTTGTGATGTGGAGAATTAGTTTGCGTTGAATGGCTACTTATACTGTGGTAGGCAAAAGGATGAGCCCTTGATGAAAGATTTGGCTGCAAATGTGGCGAAAGAACCCAACCCTTGAGGAACTTGATGTGCGAGTTATGGCCCTTAAAGACAAACAATGCCAATATTAATTAATTTATAACAAAAACTTGAAGTAGTCCCGCGATGAAATTTGAACCATGCATAAATCATTACATGATCTTTATGTGCGGAAAAATTCATTTTTTCAAGACATTGCATTTTTAATTATTAATATTTGTTATAATTTTGCATTAATTTTTGCAAATATCATTAACTATAATTTCAATTAATTTAGCTCCATTCAACATATATGTACTTCCTTTAAATTGGTACTTCGTAGTATATTTATTATGAAATATTTTTGAGTCTTGCAAGTGCAATACCTGAATATTTCTCTCATTGTTGCCAATCCCTTCAAGCTAGGAGTCTTTAAATTCACCATGTAACTACCTATTACTATGTTAATCAAGTCCTGAACTATAAAAAACATTGAAATCCTAAAATTTTGAATGGAATGACCCTTGTATTATTTTCTTCATCTGACTTCCTTCCAGTCTTCCTGTTCTTAATCATCAACATCTGTCTCACTCATTCATTCCCGCCTCGTGTCATTCTCCACTTATCTCGATTTCTATCTAAGTATTCTGATGTACAATTGTCGAAACTTTAATCTCCATTTAATGAACTTATCTAGAATTTATCCACATACCTTCTCATCTTCCAACCCGATGCCTCTGCTTCTCACAACAGGATTGACCCAACCAAACTGACAAAGATTTTCTTGCCTTTTCCATGCCCCATCTCCCTGCACATTTCTCCGTACCCCCCCCCCCACACACACACACACCTGCCTCATTGCTGTTCCGCTATTACTTTCTGACATATTTCAGGAACATGCTTATCCAGCCCCTCCTACACATGCTGATTAATTCAAAATCCAAATAATTTATTTCCTTCCTTCCTTCTTTCTTTCTTTCTTTCTTTCTTTCTTTCTTTCTTTCTTTCTTTCTTTCTTTCTTTCTTTCTTTCTTTCTTATCCTTTTCACTGAAAATTCTCACATTTCATTCTCCTCTTAGAGGCCGGTCATAAATTATATTACGCAAATTTGGAGTATTTTCAATACTCCCTCTCATCCTTGTAACGCACCGAAATGTGCACTTGAACCCCATCCCGTAAATAATTACATAACACTTATGGCACCCTCTTTTTGTACATGTATGAAGTGAAAATGAATTATAGCACAGTGTAAACAATTTGTTACTTGTGTTGCATATTAAAGTAATTAATGATAATTAAAGCAGAAATAAGTAGTGATGCTGACTGCACCTAATAATAAGATTGAGGCAAGTTGAGAGTGAACGAAGAATGCTTTGGTGAGAAATAGTGGAGCACAACCTAAGCACACGCCTTTGCCTATGGTGCAAGAGTCTACAGCGCCAATTTAAATGGATTCTATAATATACTGCACATCAGTTTTGAATGTTTTTTTCCCCTTTTTTCTCTCTCCATAATCTTATAGAATAAATAAAGATGTTGAAAAAATGTTTTCATTTATTGTAACAATTTACAAGTAATAACTTTAATTTCATTATATTTTTAAAACAAATTAATTAGTATATATTTTAATGTTTTAATACAGGACGCAAAGAAGGAATTATTTCAGCAAATGTTGAAAAATGTTAAAATAATAAATATCAATGTTACGTAACATTTAACTAATACCCCCTATCCCTATGCAACATAACGCTGCCCCCTCTTTAGCACAATGTAATGTATGGACGATCCCTTACTGAATTTTATAACTTAACTTTTTGTAGAATTAATTCTGGCTTTCTCTTCTCCATGTATACCAGAGACCACACTTTCTTATTTCTAATTATTCTCCATCCAGTCTTTTCCTTCATATTTCTTCTGGTCCCGCTGTATATTAAACAGTAAGGGGCTCAATGGGCACCCCTGCCTTATATCCCTGCTAGTCCTGAATTCCTTATTCATATCTCCTTTTACTTTGACCTGGCATTGTCTTACACACACAGTCATGCACACAGTGTGCATTGGCAAACAGTCCAATAGACAGTCAAGCAGACATAAAAATAGATGTACAGGCAGACACAAGGGGGCAGTAACAAGCAGATAAGACTGCTTCATGCCAGCTGACAGAAGATGTCTTGAGAAAGAAAAAAAACAACACTTTTTGGGTATCATGGACCCACCAAACATAGTTTGTTTCTACTTACATGAACAAAAAAGTAATTTACACTGTATTAAAGGAAGGGAAATTCAACTTTTCGGTTACAGGAATTCCCAAAATGTATTTTTCTTTTCTGTACATTTCCTGCAGCAGTATGTCACTTTCTGTGTATGAAATATTCAAGAAAGTTAAAAGAAACACCACTGTTTAGGAGATATGAAGGAACTATTGCTGGTGTTGATTTTTCAACCATAAAACTGAAAATTGAGAATTTCTTATTCTCTAGGTCTTGAGTGAATAATGTAATGAATGAGTGATTTCACTGACTTGAAGTGCTGTGGTTCTCTTAATAGTATCTCAATGATGGAATTATATAAATGTTGACTGGGGTGTTAACTGATTTGTGGTTACATTATGTAGATTCTATTCTCTTGTCTACCAGCCTTTCAGTCTTAAGAATATACATTTTTTAAATAAATTACATGAATCGTTCTCTATAATTAGGGAATATATCATCTCGATTCCGTTGGAATTTTGAAAAGATTTATTTGTTGTATGTTGTTTAAATCACACCTTTTTCTGTTTTTCCCTCAAAACCCAGAATCAGTTAGGAAGAGAGCTATTCATCTGGTGGCTCAAGCATACTCATCCATAAAACTGGATGATTTAACTCAGTTTTTGGGTTTGCCATCCGAGCAAGCTGCGCAGGCTGCCATTGAGCAAGGTTGGCAAATGGATGCAGGTCTGATGGTGAAACCTTGCAGTCCTCCTGCAGAGCCCTATCAAGTTACTTCCCGTGAAGAACAATTGTATAAACTTACAGAATTTGTATCTTTTCTTGAAAACTAATGTATTTTGTATGATATTTAACATTTGTTATTTCCACCAAGTTGGCATGAGGCTCCAATTATAATAAAGACTCCATGTATAATTTTTAAGAAACACAAAGTTTGTTGTGATCAATATTTCTAAACAGAAATAAATAACACAGAAGCTATAGAAATTACGTATAAGTTAAATATAAGTTTAATCATGTATAAGTTAAATAAAACTGTAAAATCAACAACTGCTGTGGGTTTCAGTGTTTTTGTGTTAAAATTTATTTAAGTTTGTAAATTCTGCATTCTATTTTTATGTGTGTTTCTTTACAGTTTTACAAATTCAGTATTACTGAATAAAGTATAAAATTGAAACTGTGAACATGTAATGTAGAAATGTTTTTGTTAAGATTGGATTGTATGGTTGTGCATTTTTGCAATTCATGTTGATACAGATCTCAAAATATATGATAAATGGTCTCCTTGTGGCATTATTGTGAATATGTTTTCAAAAACCATAGAGGAAAAGGATGTGAATATTGTATATTCTTTTCAAGATGAATTATAGATTTGATCACCAATGCAGGGTTGTTTGTTTGATTTGCAAATTTCTTATAAATATTGAATATTATGGCAAATAACATGGAATTAAAATTTTGTTCAATCCAAAATCTAAATTAAACCTATAAACAAAGATAACAGGTATCTGAAAGTGATTACTGTCTGAATAATACGATTGTCATTTTTTGGTGAAGTGCCCATTATCATGATGTGATGTGTAAACTTAGAATTTGGGGGGAATCTATTGGAAACAATCTCTTCTCCATGTTTGTTTTTCATTGATTTGTCGCACGCACTATTATCTGCGTACGGTTTCTTGAACTCCAAAATTCCATCCCCTTTCCGCTGCAAGACTTGGCGACACATAAATGAAAGGTTTGGAAAATCATAGTAGGTGTATTGGTTTTAATTGATTGGTTATTTTGTATTTTCGGGCGCGTCAACTGTTGTGGTCGTTACTACTGCATTAGTTGTAATGCATTTCTGGAGGTACGGGTGTTCCTAACCTGCAAGAACCTAAAATCCGTCGACACATAGGCTTGCAGGGTTTTCGCCACTCCGGGTTTCCGCCAAGCAGGATAAGCTCTAAGCTCCTGACATGTAAATGTGTTTATAAGGGTATAGGATAGGACAAAGATAAGGAAGGAAACATTTCGCGTGACCCCATTTGTTAAGGAACTTCATCGGCATTTGCCTGGCATTGATCGGAGAAAACATGCAACACCGATCTGAGTAGCTGACCTGCAGAATTCTCAATACTGGCTAAATTCGACCTAGTATCGAAAATCCGCCACTCAGGACTCGAACCGTAGGATTTTCTGACGCTGCAGTGTTAATATAGTTATTACCCTGAACCGTCTCGGTCAGTTAATTGAAGTTTTGTTTACACTAAATTCAATCAATACCTACTTTATTATTTTAGCAGATATTACATTTTATTTTGACTATATTGACTGAAATATTTTATTTATTTGATTGTTTTGATTAACAGAAATAAATATTGGTTTTTGAACGAACGTGTTCAATTAGTTTTTGTGATGTTTTTTGTTTATTGTCGATTTTACGATATTTTCTTGCCAATTTTTGGAACCAGACCAACCATATTAAAACTCTTCATACTTTCGCCTTTGCCCTTAAATACATACATTTTATTTTTTTCTCATACACCAGAAGATCGTGACTTTCGAAGAGAAGTTTTAGATCTGACAACTTTTGTATTAACTGATCAGCACTTGAAGGAAATCGATTATACCGTTTATCAATCGAAATAACTGTTTATCAACTCTAGAAATTTTGGTGTTATTGAATTTCCAGAATACAGTACGTTGACTCTACTGACGGATGCCGATTTAACAGAGGACTATGTACAGCGTAATACGAGGGTTGCCTTTTATTCTTCAAGATTAAAGAACAAAAACAAATATTAATCATTGAAAATCACTTTGTTTTTTAAAATATTCCCCATGAAGATCTATACACTTTTGCGTGTGTTTGAATCAATTGTCGAAGCACTTTTACCACTCTGATTGAGGTAACTCCAAAACATGCACTCTGAATGCAGCAACCGCTTCTTCGGGTGTCGAAAAACGTTGGCCTCTCAGTTTGTTTTTTACGTACGGGAATAAAAAGAAGTCATTCGGTGCCAAGTCAGGACTATACGGCGGATGACTCACCAAATTGATGTATGCTGGGTGCTCAAAAATGCAGTTGTTTGAGCCTTGGTTCATTTTGTCCCGACATCCATTTTGTTCCCCTCTCCCATTTTCCCCATCTGCCCATTGTCCTATTTTGCCAATTGTTCCACTTTGTCCCATAGTCTCATTCACTCCTTGCCCAACACAGTGTTGCCTTGCCCCCCTTTGTCTCATTGTCCCGTTTCGTCCGATTGTTCAAAATTATCTACTTTCTCCAGTTTCCTCAGGGTCCCCATTTTGTCCCTTTTCTCACCTTTTTCAATTCTGTCCCCTTGCCCTCTTCGTCCTCGTTTCCCGCCTTGTCCTACTTGACCCCCTTTATTCTTTTTATCCTTCCGCGCGGTGTTAATTAACAATGGTATTGCAAAGAGAATGCAATTCTGTCTGTGGATTTCGAAAATTCTAGGAATGTGATTCGTAGGCAAGCCATATATTCCGAAATGGAATCCGCGAGGTGTGTAATCGATGTCATTCGTCGATTAAATATACAACTGGAATACATATATTATTTAAATGCTCGTAGAGAAAATATATTCCACGGGACCAGTGGCGGAACTATCTTTCCTGGACCCCCCTTCCAGAGAGTATAAGTCCCACACTCCAAAAAATGTATTATTTGAAGAACCTTTTATTATAAAAGATACAAAAAGTGTCTCGTATGAGATGTTTTCCATAAAAAAAGACAGTGAAAATTATCTAAATGTCTTTTAATAACACACATATTTACAAAGATGGTTTGTTGATTTGAAATTCCGTTTTTTATTATTAATATTTTTTAAAAATATTAATTATAATCGTATAAACTTTTTATAGCTAATATTTATAGTTAAACAATGCTATTTATGGTCCATAGCAGTACATGTCATAAACGGTGGCCTAGCGTCGAGAGTCATTGACGATATTCGTTTGATAATTCTGTATTATATATAATTTTGTACGCACTTCGGAAATCGCTTAAAACAAGCGGAAAGCTCTGACGAGAGAAATAATGTATAATTTCCCTCTTGTTCAACTTTCGGTACGCTCCCTTGATACATAAAACCAAGATCTATACACTGTATGTGCATAAAACATTGTAAAAGCCTCTGGCACAGTGTCGTTCTCGGCAATAATGGACTATTGTTTTACTTATCCATTGTCGGCAATGTTTTATTTACCTTTTAATATAATTGCCGGACAAAGAAAGTAGTTACGAAAAATGGTGAAGGTGGAACAATTCTCTCAATTTTGTTTTTTTTATTTCAATACACTATAAGTTGAAATGTATTAAATACCAAACTTGAAACAAAGACCTTTTCGACCCGGCGGACCATGCACATTGCACAAGTTACACCACTGGTAGATTCACCTCTGCACGGGACGCTGAGGAAGAGCGCCGAGTATGCAGTTGTATCGAATGTAGGCGCGGTTGCCTCATAAACACGTTAATTGCTTTTAGATTGAAGCGAGATGTAAATTATTATAATCTCTTCATGCAAACATTGTTGTTTGGCTTCCCAAAGATTTTTATGACATCAATTTGCACAGCTTCTAAAAGGCAGATTCCATGATTTGACTCAAACCTGAAGACAATTGCTCATCAAATCCAAAACATGTCTGTCTCAAATACATTTTGTCGTACTGTTCGTGTGGGCAGATATCCAAATTGATTTTGAAGTGACACCCGTCAGACTAAGGACTAGGACCTTCCCATTTTTCGTTTGTAATACGCTAGGAATGAAGTTATTTCAAAGAACAATCTCTCATTTTTCGCGTGAAATTTAAGTAATTTGCAATTTTAAGGAGTGGTTGAAACTGTATTAATTTGAGAGGACAATTATAAAAATAAAATATTTATCATAATTCATCAAAATAAATGTCAAATAGTTTGCGAAACTCAATGAGCGACACCTGTGCGTCAACGTTTGAAGGAAAGGCGGCCTCTAGAGAGAGTATGCATGACGGATGAGTGCTACAAACTTTTGTGAGAGAGAGCTCACGTACTTTTTTAAGTATCTCTGAAGAACATTGTTTGAATGGCAGTCATCTCAAGGAATACAGCTGAAGTTTATTTACGTCTCAACATTCCTGCTCCTGGTAAGAAATATCCACAAACAAATGTTGTAAAAATACAATTGTTACTCTACAACTGCATTGCAACTTTATGCTTGGAAAATCTATTGATGAAATTGTTATTAAGACATTTAATTACAATTGAGATATGAACTGACCATTAAAGTGATTACAAATTCTTGTGTGTATGATAATATGGAAACCATGAAAACAAAAAGATGTCTTCATGATGAAATATTTTCTTAGAAAGTATTTTGATTATGAATAATAATATTATTTTCTTTGTTTATTTATTCTTAAGCCAGTTGTAACCCATATTCAAGACAATTTATACGTAAAAGCTTTCCATATTGAAAGAAAAAAACTTAAGTTACATGTTTGAACTATTAAATTCTAAAATACAAAATTATAAAAGGACATAAAAACAACTCATTTGTACATAATACTGAAGAATAAAATCTAGAATGCCACAATTTTTTAACGTTAAAAGTACAAGACACAAATAAGATATAAAACTAATAAAAAGAACAACAGTAAGACACAAAAATAAGAAAGTTATTAAATAAAATTTAAAACCAAAATGGGAATAAGACAACTATCACTGTAAAAGTATTGAAAATATAGTAGCCATGCATGTATTAGTTAAATTTAAACTATGGAATTTTGACTTCAAAGCCGAGAGTTGGATGTCAAAATAATCTGTAAGAGTTAATTAATATTAAGACAGAATTTACATGTTCTAATTAATTCATAGAAACCTTTATCTTCATTGCATTTTTAATTAAATAGATATGAAATCCATGATTAACCTTTGCCATTCTTGTGAATGGGTTACTGTTTCTTGAAAATTTGCCATGTTACTCGAATGAAATATTTTTAATTGTGATCATTAATATTTCATTTCTTAAAACATTCAAATATTACGTTTATTTCATTTTTAATGCTAGTTTTGAATTTAATCATTTCATGAGAGGTGAATTTTAGTTTCAAAATAACTATTTTTTCAGAATTTATTTGCAGTTAGTAAAATGTGTTTTTTGCAGTTTGAGAAAGAAATGTTATCTTCTTCTTTCTTTGTAATTATTCCTGGTATATACAAAAATTCTTTTCAGCTGTGCCCAACTTTTTTGATTTCAGATGTTTCAAAATTAAAATTAAAAAGATGGTTATATTTTACATAAATTTGTATTTACATAATGAAAGAAGAGAACAGTTAAAATCTTTATTCCCCCCCATTATGATCATATGAGGACATGGTACAATATTCTAAATTAACCAATTTTGGGTAAATTAACTTTTGAGTTCAATCCTCAATTCATAAAAAAAAAGATGGATCAAGTCTTAGAGTTCAAAGGCATTCAATTCTGAATTTTCACTCATCTCCAAATGTGTGTGTGTTTTGCAGATTTGAGAGACATGAGGGTCAAAGTCAATGAATTTTTTAAAAATGTTTAAATGGAGGCAGGAGGAGGGAATGAAGAAAGGAGATTGAAGAAGAGCATAGAAAGACACGTGACTTATGCCTTCAAGCTCAGGGGTTTACAAAATAATAACAATGAGATGGTATCCAGTTCCTGATATCTTTGCCAGTAAATTATGGCTCCATGAAGAATTAATGAATGTAAGATACCAGGTTTTATTGGTGAAGATGTGTGGGTCAGCACTGACTTAATGTTATTATTTTGAAACCACCAACCTAGAGACTACAAGCCTCCACTGAAGACAACTGTCACTTGTTTTGTACCCTCATTTCTATGACCCTGGTGAGTAAACTGATGTCATGAATGCTTAAATTTTTTACTGGGAGAGCAAACAACACTCTTCAACTGAAGTAAATCAGGAATTAATGATATTCAAACTAAACTATTTGTGTGTAGGTTTTGTTTGAAATCATAAAATTCTAATTTACAGCATCAGCTGAAAATTGTAAGTTGGCATTCCTGTAAAATTTACTCAGCATTCATAACTTATCAGCTTATTCACCGGGGTCAAAGATTTATACTCAACCCACTCCGACTGTAGATATAATCACCATTCTCAATTAATGAATTCCAACCAAGCTTCAGTGAATGAGTGAAGTGAATGTAGTAGACTGCAGAAATTGATTCATGACAGTTTCATTTCAAATGAAACAAATAAAATAGAAATATTAACATTCCGCTAGGAATATGTACAACTTCTCAATCAGAACCCACATTAGAATAAATTCACCGTTCATGTTTGGCCAACTGATATTCATACATAGTGTGTTACAATGATGAAGACATCTGTCGTATTGAAAAATTCAAAAGTGATTTGTACTACTCATTGCTGATTTTCTGGAAAAAGCTACTTTGTCTTACCTCTCGCCAATACATACAAAAAAGACAAAGC